CAAAGGGGCCCCCGCGGGGGGGGGGGGGGGGGGGACAGCCAACGGATGGCCGCCCAACGGCCGTAGCTAGACATACGGGAAGAGACTGAAGGAGCATCACAGAGGACCGGATCGGACTCACCTGCTGGGGCACTTGAACACCTGTGAGCTGCAGAGGGGAGGCCGTCCCCGCCTTGGCCTGCACACTGGCTTGGACCAGGAGCCTCTGCCAAAACGAAAGAGGCGAGGGTGAGGGCAAACGGGAGGCGACTCACAGCAGCGGCAGGTCAGCGTCTTGCCCCGGAGTGGCCCAAACTGCTTATAAATCCCTCCCTCTCGGAGAAACCCAGCCAGCCGAGCATTTCTTTTCTGCGTTTAGCAGAGGGGGATGCCGAGTCTAGCTGAGAGGAGCAGCTTTGCTGTTAACGACTTAAGAACCAGGGGTCATTTCCTGCAGGAGCGCACAGGAACAGAGCTCCGGCAGTAAGGAGCCCAGGGGGCGGGCACATGCAACAAACGGACTCACCTGCTGGGGCACTTGAACACCTGTGAGCTGCAGAGGGGAGGCCGTCCCCGCCTTGGCCTGCACACTGGCTTGGACCAGGAGCCTCTGCCAAAACAAAAGAGCAGAGGGTGAGGGCAAACGGGAGGCAACTCGCAGCAGCGGCAGGTCAGCGTCTTGCCCCAGAGTGGCCCAAACCGCTTATAAATCCCGCCCTCTCGGAGAAACCCAGCCAGCCGAGCATTTCTTTTCTGCGTTTAGCAGAGGGGGATGCCGAGTCTAGCTGAGAGGAGCAGTTTTGCTGTTAACGACTTAAGAACAGTGTGTGGGATAAAACACAGGAACTCGTACTCCAAACCTCCCACTCTAGTTGAAAGGTCTGTGCGCCTCTCCCACCGGCAGAAACACACCTGGCCACCTGCTCTCAGGCATTTATTTTTGTTTTATAGTTATTTCACTTCATTTAAGGCAAAGGTAAAGGTTTTCCCTTGCTCGAAAGCTGGCCGAATCCGACTCTAGGGGGTGGCGCTCCTCTCTGTTTCCAAGCCGAAGAGCCGGCGCTGTCCGAAGACTTCTCTGTGGTCATGTGGCCGGCATGACTAAATGCCGAGGCGCACGGAACGCTGTAGCCTTCCCACCGAGGTGGTCGCTATTCATCTGCTTCCAATTTCCTGCTTTCGAACTGCTAGGTTGGCAGGAGCTGGGGCCAGAGGCAGGAGCTCACTCCGTCATGCGGCACACTCGGGTCTCGAACTGCCGAACTACCGACCTTCCGGTCTGCAGCTCAGCGTCTTAACCTCTGAGCCACCGCGGCTCATTTATGAGGACCCAAAGCAGGGCATGTCATTCCCCCGTCTGCCATCTTATCCTCACGACAGCGCTGCAAGGTAGGGGAGGCGGAGAGTGTGTAGCTAAATTGTTCCAAGATCACCCAGCAAGCCTCCATGGCCAGAGTGGGGATCTGAACCTGGGTCACCCAGATCTTAGTCCAGCACTCTAACTGCTACTGCCAAAGGGACCAGATGGCTCCGGTCTCGTTCCGTCAACACTGGCTCCCAATTTGCTTCTGGACCCATTCAAGGTGCTGGTATTGACCTCTAAAGCCCAATATGGCTCGGGGCCAGCCTAGCTGCCTTCTCTCACGTGAACCTACAGGTCTACTCTGTTCATCTTAGGAGGCCCTTCTTCGGGGCCTCGGCCCCTCTGCCCTGTTGCTGGCCCTCCAGAGGATGCTGGACTAGATGTGAGATAGGATGTTGGACTACATGGACCCTCCCTGGTCTGGTCCAGCCAGGCTCTTCTGATGCTCTTACTAGGGGAAGGCCTCGGCCTCTCTGCCCTGTTGTTGGCCCTCCAGAGGAACTGGTTGGTCACTGTCTGAGACAGGATGCTGGACTAGATAGCAGAGATCAGTTCCCCTGGAGAAAATGGTGGACTTTGTGTCCTTATACCCTGCTGAGGTGGCCCCCCATGACAGCCAATGTGACGTGGCAGTCAGGGTTTCAGTGCACGGAAGAGGCTGCAGATGTGTGGGGGAGATGGAAAGCTGAAGAGTGAGGGGGAAATAAAGGCAGGTTGATGATTGGCTGGGAAGAAGATAGGGTTGCCAACTCCAGGTGGGGAATTCCTGGAGATTTGAGGGATGGAACCTGGAGAGGGTGAGGTCTGAGTAGAGGTGGGACCTCAGACAGGTACAATGCCGTAGACTCCATCCTCCCAACCAGCCATTCCCTCCTGGGGAACCACTGCTGCCAATCTCCAAATGAGGGCTAGAGATCACTCAAAATTACAACTGCTCTCCAGGAGGGAGGGGGGAGGAGATGGAAAGCTTAAATCAGAGGGGCAGATAATGGCAGGTTCGTGCTTAGCTGGGAAGGAGATAGGGTTGCCAACTCCAGGTTGGAAAATTCATGGAGATTTGAGGGGAGGAGCCTGGAGGTTTGAGGAAGGGTGAGACCTCAGACAGGTACAATGCCATAGACTCCACCCTCCCAACCAGCCATTTCCTCCTGGGTAACAATTGTTGCCAATCTCCAGGTGACGGCTGGAGATTACTCAAAATTACAAGTGCTCTTCAGGTAGCAGAGATCAGTTCCTCTGGAGAAAATGACGCTGAGTGCCCAAGGCCGTGGCACTCTCCCAGAGCCTCTTTCTAGAGCTCGTTGTATTTATTTCTACAACGAGCCTTATTCCTAGTTGAAAGATATGTCCCAAATGGCATAATCACATCTACTTTTGTCACAACAAACTTGATCAATATCCGTACCTGCTGTGTCGCTTGGACTTGCTGGACCACCTGTGTCGGCACCCCCGATTGTGTGGCTGTGGAGCCCGGGCTGGACTCTGACACTGTCTCGCTGGGCCGCATGGAGCCTTCTGTAGAGACGCAGAAGAGGAAGGTTTATGCAATGACCCCAGAAAGGAAATCGAAGAAAGGCCCTGCTCTCCAGCGTTCGGAAGAAAGGCAAAGGGGAAACAGAGGAGATTAGTGAGTGGCACGCGAGGAACATCTAACGAAGGGTCCCCAACGTGGTGCCCATGGGCACCACAGTGCCTGCCGACAACTGGTGCCCACCAAAGGGCCTCCTGCCCAGTATGGCTTCTTGATTGGCCACTGAAACATGATTGGCTGCGCAGATTAAAGTGACGTTGTTTCAATGGCAGCTGCTATCCCAGTGTTTGTCTCTCTTCTTTCACGGTGTATTTTTTAAAAAGTACTCCTCTTGTTCCCCGAACTTGGGGTTCCTCTGTGACTGTGGGGGCCCCCCCCCTCCATATCCCATTTTGTGACTGTGCCCACCGCCCCGTGTCAGAATCCCAAAGGTACCCACAGGCTCAGAAAGGCTGGGCACCCCTGATCTAACAGCTCGGGCATTGGGGATCAGGTTTCTGCCACTGCGGTTTCTACCTGGAGGGCCGAGCCATGACTCTTACGTTCCACTCCCAGTTCTGGGAAGTTCCGGCACACTATGTCCGGCTGCCCCATGAAAAGCCAAGGGCTGTGCCCCAGTATCTTCGGTCCCGTTGTGGGGAATCCTGACCCACGCTTCTCAGACTGGCTGCCTGCTTTGTTTGTGCTCCTACAAACACTGCTGCTCCAGTGTTCTGGGGAGGGAACTTGAGTGGAACCAGGCGACCTTTTCACCTCCTATCTTTCCAAGTACTGCTATCAATGTTTCCTCTATCCCCCCCCCCCCGCGTATAACTTTTGTAATCTTAAAATGAGCAACGGGCAGTGCCAGACCCTGCGCGGCTCCAGACAGCCACTGAGCGGGAGGGCTTCCTGTGTGTGTGAGCGGCCACTCATGCACACAGCTTAGAGCAGGGGTGTCGAACTCATTTGTTATGAGGGCCGGATCTGACGTAAACGAGAGCTTGTTGGGCCGGGCCATGTGTGTCATAAAATGTAATGCCAGGTAGCAGAGATATAAACTTTATAAAGGACACAAACACAAAGGGTTGTTTTTTTTTCTTAAAATAAAAACGTGCTTAAAACATTAGCACTCTTGTAATATTTTGTTTATTTAACAGTGTGTGATAACTGACACCTCTTGCTCTGAATTATTGCATCAAAATGTCTGTGCTGTTGCAATCTTGACTATGCTGTTCAGGTGTGTATCTGTAAGCTGCAAACCTACGATGATAAAGCAACAGCAGAACTGGAAGAAGAAGCAGAAGCCAGCCAGTTCCACTGCGGGCCTGATAGAAGCCTTGCAGGGGGCCTGATCTGGCCCCCGGGCCACATGTTTGACACCCCTGGCTTAGAGGTAACACTGACTGCTATCTGTCCAGAGTTTCTGGGCCCAGGCTCATCAACACAACTAAATACCTAGGTCCTAGCCTCAGATCTGAAAAGGAGAATGGCGCACAGCAGTTAAGCATACCGGTGGCACACTTTCCCAAAGCAAGAACAGACGTGTCTCTGAGAGGAAAACGCTAGGCTCTGCTGTCCAACAGTCCCGTGGGTTCTTGGAGTGTTTCAAATGAAATTTATTTTGTGCAATAAATGATGTTCATTCATTGCAAATGGATCAGCATGTATTCCCTTGAGGCAGCTATCTTTTATTTGAAGGAACACCACCTTTTCACAGCCCTGTGTCTGCAGCATTTTGTCACGGGGGAAAAGTTATTCCTCATCACCACCACCACCACCACCAGATACTGTTAAGAGTATGCACATCATTCTCCTCTGCTCCATTTTATCCTAATAACAACCCTGTGAGGTAGGTTAGGCTGAAAGCATGTGACTGGCCCAAGGTCACCCTGCAAGCTTCCATGGGAGGAGTGGGGATTCGAACCTGTGTCTCTCAGACCCTTTTCCGACACTCAGACCACTACAGTACAATGGCTCTCGGCTTGTTATTCATTATTACCACTATTTTAGCGAGTGGACTTAATCTTGCCGTACCTGCTTCGCCCTTCCAGTAACAGCCACACACACAAAGTTCCCAAATATACAAATTCCACTAGTAGAAAACACCATCAAAGATTGCCAAAACAATATATTAAACCATTATAAAGTTGGTGGTGTCACAACAACACTAATGCATACTGTAACTATAATAAGGCATAAGATACAATATTTCCTCCTTTGAAGATAAGACATAAAGTCCATGTAGTCAGTGTAACTTGACAGGAGGAGTCCACATAAGTCATAACATTTCCCGAACAGCCTTTGCAAAAACGCCCATTCTAGATACTTGGAAGATGTGTTTCCTTTGACTCCTTCAGTTTGCCAGCTGTGTTAATGGAACCTGGTTTCAGCAATTTCACCAGAGACCACAAGGTTCATAGTGTAAGAAGTGAATCATAGTTTGTTGTTGTTCAGTCGCACAGTCGAGTCCGACTCTTTGCGACCCCATGGACCAGCTCCCTCCAGGCCTTCCGGTCTTCCGCCATCCTCTGAAGTTTGCTCAACTTCATGTTCGTTGCATCGATGACACTGTCTAACCATCTCATCCTTTGCCGTCCCCGTCTTCTTTGACCTCACACAGAAAGTGGCAAAAAGTAGCAAAGTTCACTTCAACAGCAATCTTCTACTATGTTATCAACCTGTTCTAAAAATGTATTTACAAAATTCATACCTCATCTTTCTGCCCTGTTCGGGCAGCTAACAGATTAAACACATGCATAATAAAAAAACACGTCTGAAAAACCATTTAAACCAAACCAAACATATCACTAAAACAATTAAAACTAAGCTAAAATACACATACAAAAACATAAAAACAACAAGAACAAAAACAACAACAGCAATAAAAAGTCAGAGCGAGAAGCAGGGATCCCTGAGGGAATGCCAGATGAAACAAAAAAGTCTTCACCACTGGGGAAGCAACAGAAGGAACAGCAACAGAAGGAAGCAGACAAGTCTCTCTGGGGAGCGAATTCGAGAGCTTCGGTGCCACAACTGAGAAGGCCCTCTCCAGGGTTGCTGCCTGCCTAATCTCAAACTATGGGGACACCCAAAGCAGGGCTTTGGAAGATGATTGCAGTGGTTGGGTAGGTTCATAAAATATAATTATTTGAAGTCTGAGGGAACTGCACAGTTCTCCCGTCTCAGAACTACCACACATATCTCTCCCGCTGTTTTCAACTCTTCTGCAGTCAGGAAGGTGATGGGTTGGGCCCTGCAGAGAGAGGTGATTATTGCCGATTTCTTTCATACAGCAACCCCAAACACCCCCAAAATGTTGGTCTGGGAGAGGAGGGGGATAGAGGGTCACCAGGAATAGCTTGTGGGGACTGGAGGTCTCATGATGATGAGGATGAGGAGGAGGAGGAGGAGGAGGAGGAGATGATGATGATGATATTGGATTTATACCCCGCCCTTCACTACCCAAAGGAGTCTCAGAGCGGCTCACAAACTCCTTTCCCTTCCCCTCTCCACAACAGACACCCTGTGAGGTAAAAGAAGAAGAGGAGATTGGATTTATACCCCGCCCTTCACTACCCAAAGGAGTCTCAGAGCGGCTCACAAACTCCTTTCCCTTCCCCTCTCCACAACAGACACCCTGTGAGGTAAAAGAAGAAGAGGAGATTGGATTTATACCCCGCCCTTCACTACCCAAAGGAGTCTCAGAGCGGCTCACAAACTCCTTTCCCTTCCCCTCTCCACAACAGACACCCTGTGAGGTAAAAGAAGAAGAGGAGATTGGATTTATACCCCGCCCTTCACTACCCAAAGGAGTCTCAGAGCGGCTCACAAACTCCTTTCCCTTCCCCTCTCCACAACAGACACCCTGTGAGGTAAAAGAAGAAGAGGAGATTGGATTTATACCCCGCCCTTCACTACCCAAAGGAGTCTCAGAGCGGCTCACAAACTCCTTTCCCTTCCCCTCTCCACAACAGACACCCTGTGAGGTAAAAGAAGAAGAGGAGATTGGATTTATACCCCGCCCTTCACTACCCAAAGGAGTCTCAGAGCGGCTCACAAACTCCTTTCCCTTCCCCTCTCCACAACAGACACCCTGTGAGGTAAAAGAAGAAGAGGAGATTGGATTTATACCCCGCCCTTCACTACCCAAAGGAGTCTCAGAGCGGCTCACAAACTCCTTTCCCTTCCCCTCTCCACAACAGACACCCTGTGAGGTAAAAGAAGAAGAGGAGATTGGATTTATACCCCGCCCTTCACTACCCAAAGGAGTCTCAGAGCGGCTCACAAACTCCTTTCCCTTCCCCTCTCCACAACAGACACCCTGTGAGGTAAAAGAAGAAGAGGAGATTGGATTTATACCCCGCCCTTCACTACCCAAAGGAGTCTCAGAGCGGCTCACAAACTCCTTTCCCTTCCCCTCTCCACAACAGACACCCTGTGAGGTAAAAGAAGAAGAGGAGATTGGATTTATACCCCGCCCTTCACTACCCAAAGGAGTCTCAGAGCGGCTCACAAACTCCTTTCCCTTCCCCTCTCCACAACAGACACCCTGTGAGGTAAAAGAAGAAGAGGAGATTGGATTTATACCCCGCCCTTCACTACCCAAAGGAGTCTCAGAGCGGCTCACAAACTCCTTTCCCTTCCCCTCTCCACAACAGACACCCTGTGAGGTAAAAGAAGAAGAGGAGATTGGATTTATACCCCGCCCTTCACTACCCAAAGGAGTCTCAGAGCGGCTCACAAACTCCTTTCCCTTCCCCTCTCCACAACAGACACCCTGTGAGGTAAAAGAAGAAGAGGAGATTGGATTTATACCCCGCCCTTCACTACCCAAAGGAGTCTCAGAGCGGCTCACAAACTCCTTTCCCTTCCCCTCCCCACAACAGACACCCGGTGAGGTAGGTGGGGCTGAGAGAGCTCTTTGGAGAACTGCTCCTAAGAGAACAGCTCTGTCACACCAGCAGCTGCAGTTGGAGGAGTGAGGAATCAAACCCGGTTCTCC